ATCCCACCACCCACTCGCGGCGCATCCTCAGACCCTTCCCAAAATGGTTGGGCCAGAACCGCCCCTATATATCTACTCATCTTCTAGGGATAATTATCGTTTTTTCTCCCTTCCCAGTGTGAAAAAAATTGAGAAGCGACGACAATGGCTGGAAAAAAGCGGTGATTTGCTACCGAGTGATCAAGTGTCAAAGAACGATTGTTATTTGTGTGAGGCTAAGTAGTTGGGACTTTTTTTTTCTTTTGTGGCTCTTGAAACCCCTTGTACTTCATTTATTTCACCCCTCGTGACCATTATGACCATCGTATCTTTTTCAAAACTTGTTCATAGAAGAAAACATTAAAAAATATAGTTCAAACTGGGATCCTCGTTATCGTAATCCAATCCCTCCCAATTCTTCCCTATTAAGCTTCACTGAAGAGAAGAGGAATAATTAATTGAATGGACTTCTGATGTTAATTATTCTTTCTTCTAATTAGTATTTCAATCGTCTAGTCGACATGACTCAGTCAATCTTTATCGCTCGACCCATGGAACTATTTGCTGAGAATCATATAGTTTTCATCTCAACATTTTTTAATCCTGTTCCTCTCGATTGAACACAAAATTTTATTTTCATCACGCTGTATCGGAGAAGTAACTTTCCGACACATTGTGATGAAAAATTTTGTTCGTAACTCGTNATCGGCATGTGGAGAGAGATCTAATCCGCGTGAGGGGAAGGGACGCAACAGCGCCGCGCGGGGCTTCTATTGGAACTTGTCCCCTGTTTCGGTGTCGGCGACATCAAAGCTTCACCATACCTCCCTGTATCATACCTTACTATTTTTGGGCTATACCAGCGCCACGTATTGGCGGTTCGGCTCCCCAAGTATCTGGCAACCCTGATTACCCCATAATTGAGGCGGTATTGATGGTATTGACCAAAGAGATACAGTGCATACAGGTTATGGGCTTCTGAAATTCGGACGGGTAGTCATTTAGCCAAACATATCCCAATGCACTTGACCCCAAGCCATCTCACGTAAACTTGTTGTGTCTGGCTAGTTTCCCCTACATCTCTTCTCTTCACAGTGACAGGAGAAAGAAGTAGTGATCGGAGCAGATACAAATTTATCAACTACTACTATTAAAAAAGAGTTCCAACATTTTGCTCAACTTGAAAAAGAAGAAAAACAACAATTGGATTAATCAGTTTCTTTTACCTTTCACAAATTGATTTGTGAGTTGGCCTCGGCGTCATTGTGGCGGTTCTAAAATTTTTGTTTTATTTGCTTGAAAATAATTGGCAACAATATTCAAAAATCATTCCTATATCTACGATTTTTAGGATTTTTGTGAATTTCGAGAGTTACCAGTACTAGTATCCCCGGAGTTTCAGGAAGTGCACTCTTGGTGGACGTTGGGTGGTTACAGTCGAGTCGAGCTGTCTCGAACGTAAGGATTTGGTAATCTCAAACAAGAAAAGGAAGAATTCTAATTTTGGAAAAATCATTTATTTTTATTTTCAAGAATATAGTTTTGGTTATGTTTAGTGACATTAGTTCGTTTAAATATTTCACATTTTTGCCATTTTTAGTAATTTGTGATTTGTTAATCTTTTTCTTCTTCTTTTATGAAATAGGAAATTAAAAAAATTGAATTGTTCACTTATTATTTTCATTAATTTAAATGTTTCAAATGAAAAAAAAAATTCCTTAGTGGATAGAGGTTTTCAGTCTGTCAATGTAGTATTCAACAGCAATTCCGACATTTTAACCTCTCTTTTGTTATACCTGTCAATTCAATCCACAAAATGATGAAATTAGTGTATTGAATTTAGGAAGTAATTATTGACTATTCATCAATTAAGGCCCCCATAGAGGGACCGGGCCTTAAATAGCAATGTGTTGATTGTTATTGTTGCTGTGAATCTCATATTTCGTAGGGTTTTGAGCTTTATGGAGAAACAGGAGAGTGGCCCGAGGGACGAGTGGTTGGCTGAAGTGGGTTCGCATATCCAGAGGGTCTCAGTGAATAATTTGATAATGAATTATTTAGTTACAGGTATTATTTAATTTAATTTAATTGTCATATTAGGTGTGCGAAAAGGTGATTTGGTTTTAAATTGCCAGAATTGGCAATCAGGTAAATGACCCTACGCTCGTCTAGCTAAGGTGAACACATCATTAGTTCAATATTTCTATCGAAATGAGCGTGAAGATGCGGTGATTTAAATTACATATCAGAGGGTAAAACCTTCAGAATTGGAATTTATTTATATTAATTATGATAATTACAATTTTTTTAATAATCGTCCATGAATGTGAAAAGTCCCATGTCCCTACGCTCGTTCATTTGTCTCCATGCTCGTTTGACATATGTCCCTATCCTCGTCTCGTGATTTGAGTGATATGGAAAGGTTATATCCGAACTAATTATATCGTGAGTATCCTATTTTCTGATAAAACAACATTAAAAAATATCTCGATGCACAAAATTATATTTCTATTGGACAGTCCAACCTTTTAAATAATTTTTTCATCCGTTTAGTCCGTTACCAGTTGACAGTTGGGTGCAAAACGAGCATAGGATCAATGCTATTTTCATTGTACCTATTCTTTTAATTGGCAATATTTCAGTGAAATATCCGGATATTACTATAATTGATGCATTTTTATTAAATTTTTAACTGTTCGAAACCTTAGCAAAGGGATTTATAATTCCATTTTACTAGTGTAACGAAGATATCAACGTTTTAAAATTGTGAGTTTCTTAACTTGTGGCTTAAGAATTAACTCTGTCGTAGCATGAGTTGATGTGAATGTGATTTTTCTCTTATTATCCAATAAATCACTCTGTATTGGTGTCTATAACTTTTCTTATTGACTAAAATAATAACTCCAATCGTACTTCACTCTTAATAGACTCTTGGGACTATCAAAATGATTGAAATGTCATAGCTGGCAGGATTTGGACGAGCGTAGGGGCAAAGACGGGCATAGCTACATTTACCTTACATTTCATAAAAATCATTTATTTTTATTTTCAAGAATACAGTATTGCTTATGTTTAGTGACATTTTTTCGTTCAAATATTTCACATCATTGCCATTTTTAGTAATTTGAGATCCTCGATTTTTTGGTAGAGAGTTACAGTAATTTTTGAAATAGTGCAAAATTTCCTAAACACACAAAAAGCGAGTCATCAATTTCCTGCACCCATCGATTCCATAATTGATGCAGTCGCTTAAAAGTAAATTTGAAATCCTTCAGAGGGTTTTAAAGAAGCAGCTGAAAAATTCCAACAAGAATCTGGTGTGGGCCCAACAGTAGAACTGAACTCGATGGATGATAGAATTCGCATTCGCGATGCAGTTCAAAATGGCAGAATCCAGGAGGCCACGGACCTTGTCAATCAACTCCATCCCGAGTTACTTGATAATGACAGATACTTGTATTTTCACTTGCAACAGCTACACCTCATTGAACTCATTCGTACTGGGCGAATAGAAGAAGCATTGCAGTTTGCCCAAGATCAACTTAGTGAGGCTGGTGAGTCTGACGATAATATTTTGAGTGAATTGGAGAGAACTCTGGCTTTGTTGGCGTTTGAGGAGCCTATGAAAAGCCCTTTCAGTGATTTGCTTCATCCATCGCACAGACAAAAGGTACAATTTCATTCGAGTACTGAATTGAAGAAAATTCCTTCTTCTTTTGTAAATCTAATTATTAATGAAGTTGATATGTTGAATAATCATTTTAAATATCATTCATTCAAGTATTATATTAAATTTTTTCAATTAATTATGTATCTCAAATTTAACAAATTATTTTTCCGGCTTGTAGATTGCAAGCGAATTAAATACTGCAATTTTGAAAATGGAGCACAGAGAATCGACAAGCCCAAGACTAAACAATCTCTTGAAGATGATACTGTGGGCGCAGGATGAACTCGACAAGAAAAAAGTCAAATATCCAAAAATGACCGATTTGGGGAGTGCAACTATCGAGAATCCTAAGTAGTAAAAATCAACCCTTGAATTGAGAAAAAAAAGAAAAAAAAAATTTTTAACGAGAATTCAGAGTTATTATTATTTATTCATATATTGGTCCCAGAAGACTGTAACGATTATCTAAGCATAAGTAGAACAATTAGGAAACGAATAAAAATGATGATTATTAATAATTAGTGATAAATTTCCTTTTTTCACGTGCAAAATGTATTATATTAATGATTATACCGAAGTATTAAAATTTTATTAAAATTTTAAACTCTAATGACAAATTGAATAATTCCAATGATTGACTCCATAATCAACCCTGACTTAAGTTTTTCTCAATTGTTTTTCAATATAATTCACCCTCATTCAAAGGGAAATCGATTTCCAAAATTTAAATAAATAAACCAATGACATTTAATTAATTCTCTTTTCACTTAAGAAATACCCAAAATAATGCATTAATTGCTCAATAAAACATTCTCAAAACTTGTCCACTCGTCCTTGAAAATTAATAATTCATTACTGCAAATTTGAGGTAATTCAGTCAAAAGAGGAACAAAAAAAAAAAAAGAAAATACAAATAAAAATTAATGAACAAGCCTTTGCAATCAATAGTGAATGATGTATACAAAAATTGTTGATCTTCTCTTTGGAACATAAATTACCACCCGAAGACATATTCCATGGCCTTAGAAACGATTCCAGTGGATCTCTGAGGGACGTTGTCAGGTTGTCTAATATTTGAAGGGCTGTACTGAGTATTAAATATGACTCTTTTGTTAATGGAACTGTTGGGACTAGGCAAAATGTTGGCAGAGTCAGGTATGGTCATTTTGTTAGATGATGAGAAGATTCTCATGCTGCCATTGGCCTTTCTGTTTTCTTTGTCAGGACTCATGACGACCCCCTCATCGATACAAGGAGTCACTCCAATCATGATAAAGCCAGAGACAATGTTCCCATTACAGGCTAATGCTCTCTGTGCTTCTTGTTCAGTCGCACATTTCAAATGAATCCAGTTACTTTGTGGCTGAGGGGGAGGATGCTTATCGACAATCCTGACTCTGTTTGAAATGTGCGAGAGGACTATATTTATAGCACTCGGAGGAAATCCAAATATTGTGATCCATTTGAGTAGGCCCTGGCTCTCCCCAGTGCCAATGTTAGGACTGTCCAAAAACAAAGGATCATTACTATTAAGTAAATTCCTTGGAAAACTTCTTCTATTTCCTCCAGAAAATGATTCCCCTGGCGGAGCTGTTTCAAAAGTGTCGAAGAGATCTCTCGTGGGAGGACCCCCTGCATGACACTCAGCACCAATCCTGGGGGTTCCTGGAGATGTTGCATTCGCAAACATGGCCTTTTGACGATTGTGACGGTAATCCGGGCTTCCATAGCTTGAAATTGGTGACGGGAGGCTTGGAGGACTGTTGATGGTTGAGAAACGAGATGTATTGTCAGAAACACTGGACATGGCCATCCTTCCAGGCTGATGGAAAATCATTTTAATGAGTAACATTAAAGGTGTACATCGTTATAGAGAATATTGTTAGGCTTTAATGATGTCTCCGTGGTGTCGTCAAAATCAGGCAGTTGAATTCTTATTTGTCTTTTTTTTTTCTACTCAAATTACCAGTGGGTTGTTGGAGAACAAGACATTGATCGAAATATAAAGAATATAATCGACAGTAAATTCACTGTGTTGTAAAATTTGTGAATAATATGAAATGCCGGTTGCAAATTTACCGTATGGGCCGTCTCCCCCAGTAAAAAACTCGGGAGATATGCTGAATTGTTTACAGGACTTCCTGGAGTCTGCCCTGGACTGCCCACGGGTGATCCCAATGTCATCGGTTCCATCTGTCGTACAAGTGAAAAATAAATAAATAAAATAGAAGAGAGTTTTTCAAGAATTATTATGGAGGTTATGTTCACGTTCCTTTTTTAGGAAAACAACACAAGCCTTACATTTTTAAGTAGTCTATGTATAAGACATATAAGGAAACAAAAATTTGATTAATTACCTTGGTCAATTTGCTGAACTAATTGGTGATGGGAATAGTAATAATGAAAGTTTATCACAAATTTTCTTTGAGGCAATCGAGAAAAATCTACTTTTGAAAGTTTTGAAAGTGACCAGGGTTGCCAGATACTTGGGGAGCCGAACCGTCAATACGTGGCGCTGGCTCGCCGAAACTTCTCCCGACCCAAGTAGCAAACCAGAGATTATAGGGGAGATGAGCAGGGCCAATGTAAAGTGTTCAACAGCAAAATACGTAGCAGTGGCGCATGGACTACGATGGAGCGTACGGAACTGTTGGTATGGTAGGGCCCGAGCATAAATTTGTCGATAACCGGAAAGGGGTTCTCAATACGGTAGCTCCTCGCATTTTGTAATAATTGTCAGGAATGTAAAATCGAACATATTATAATCAATAGTATAATGAATGCAGAATCTAATGATCTAAAAGTCTTTTCCTTTTTCTCGACATATTTATTATTGACACGTAGGTCAAAAAATTCATAGAAAATCCCAGTGCTGTCGCCGGAAAACTCTATAATTTTCCAATGATTCTATTGAATAATTGTGCAGATTTTGTTTTTTTTTTACTATGGTAATGTTCGATTATATATATT